GCGCATAGGCACCCAAAGAGGCACCCCACTCTGCCAACAAGCTTCCTGCCCAAAAGCTCTCAGCTTTCTTGCTCTGTGGGACAAGAAGCCTGCTGCTCTATCTCATGCTGTTTTCTTGGTTTGGTTGATTCTCCTGCCTCTGCTACTGCCATCTCTCTGCTATAGTCTCAGTATAGGGATCTTGGGTCTAAAGTTGTTCTCTACTCCCAGCTCTTCTCCCTTGATGGCAGTGAGAGCCTCCTCTTCTGCCTGTATGATGGCTCATTTAATGCTACTGAGGTGGCAAAACTGACCAATCCCCACGTTAGGGTTCCATATACCTTATTTGCAAGGTCCCACCCCCACAAGTGCCAGGTACCTTATTAACATTATTAGCAAACTATCCAATCCCTTTGGTGGGCCACAAGCACCTCACATTTACATGGTTCCATGTCATGTATGACTGACAAGTGGCAGTCACCAGGTGGGAGTTAACAAAGACCATGGCTAGAAGAGCCATATTAAGTAATTCACTGCACCATAGTGTAGAAGCTCTACTAAAAACTGTTCAACATCGTAGCAACATGCAAGCTTCCATATGGATTTAATAATCTCAAAAACATTTTTAAAATACCATTTATAATATCATCTAGAACTACAAAGGACACAAGGAATTTAAGCTGAGCAGGTCTGTTGATAAGAGTGAACGTCTGACCCATCAGAAAGCTGACCAAGAATCTCAGGCAAATTGACAAGGGGCCAGAGCTAGTGAGTTACGGACAGAGCCCTGTACTGGAATCCAGGAAGTGCTCTGTGCACAATCCTCTCAAGGACCCCAGGTTCCTCAACAGAAGTTTGAAGTCAAAATTCAAGAAATGAAGGTCAAGGCCCTGCTTTTTGCTGGTTTGCCTTTGTAAGGGTCACAGTAAATGAATTCAGCTTGTACAAGAAGCAAAGTATATGGGTTGGACTGCTTGCTAAAGAACTGTCTCTTGGTGTATATCCCAGTGGGTTATATAGTCAGCTCCCTACCACAGGGTCTAAAAAGTTAAGCCAGATAGATATATCTGTGAATTACTAAAAACACCCTAGGAGCTCTGGTAGCTTAGTGCCTAAGGCACTTGACTGCTAACCAGAAGGCTGGCGGTTCAAACCCACCAGCCACTTCTCGGAAGGAAGGTTGGGCAATCCTACTTCCACAGTGATACTGCCTTGGAAACCCAAGGAGGGGTCGGAGTTGGGTCCGACTCGACGGCACATAACAACAACAAAAAAAACACCTTACTGCTACTTTTATTTTTAATAATTTTGTTGATGTTGAAAATACACACAGCAAAACATACACCAGTTTAACAGTTTCTACACGTACAGTGACACTGATTATATTCTTTGAGTTGCGCAACCATTCTCTTCTTCCTTTTCTGTGTTCCTCCTCCATCAACATAAACTCACTGCCCACTAATCTTTTGAGTTATCTAATCATTGCCCTATCTAATCTTTTGAGTTAATGTTGTCAATTTAATGCTGTATAGATAGTTCTTAAAAGAGCACAATGCCCAAGGCAGATAGTCTTTACTAATTGAGCTTTGAGCTAAACTATTGTTTGGTTTTAAGAAGACTTCAGGGGATATTTTTGGTTTAAAGTTTAAAGATTATCTGAGGGCAATATTCAGGGAGGTTTGTTTATCCAGCACCCATGGCTCCAGAATTCTGGGTTCTGTGAGAACTTAAAATTATGTTCTGTGTTTTTCTGCTTTTGATCAGGATACTTCTATAGATTCTTTGATCAACATCTTTTATGGAGAATATCGTTGGTGTTTTATATGATGCTAATTCTATCACAAAGAATTACTACAAAATCATGGGGTTATTTTTCCAAGTCTCACCAAGAGATCCTTCTCCACTGATAATATTATACTTGTCTATATTTTAAGGGAAAAAAATAAAGTTGCATAGATTCCAGGTCATGGGGATCTTGTGTATGTCTGAGTAAAACTGTGTTCTACATGGTTTTTAATGGCTGCTTTTTCTAAAGTAGATTGCCAGGCCTCTCTTCCTAGGTACCTCCGGATGGACATGAATCTCCAACTTTTCTGTTAGCAATTGAGCATTAACTGTTTGTACTACCTAAGGACTCCAATTTAATAAATAGAGGTTTGATATTTAATATAACTAATGTATCTATAGGAGCTTTGGTGGCGTAGTGCCTAAGACATTTGACTGCTAACCAGAAGGCTGTTGGTTCAAACCCACCAGCTACTCCTTGGAAGGAAGATTGGGCAATCTGCTTCATAGAAATACCACCTCAGAAACCCAAGGAGAGGTCACTGTGAGTCATAGTTGACTACCAAGATGAAACATGTTTATTTTAAAGATGATTTTAGGATGATTCCTCCTAAAAAGAATCAAGTCTGATCTACAAACAATTCCAATTACTGACCATGTTCCTACAATCTGTGTCTCTGATTTTTCCTTTACTGTCACTGTATGTAGCAAAGAGATGCCCTCACTATATCATATCTTGCCCTATGAAAGTCAATACAGTGGAAATAATTCCATTGTGCTCCCTTTCCAGAGACCAAGAAGGATATTGAAAAATGGTATAGTAGAGTTTCCATTTCAGAATCTACTATTCCAAATAAGGAAGTAAATATTCCATACCCCTCCAATTTTTCCTCTCATTTTTACAGTAGCATTGACTGACATGAGCTGAGGAAAAGACAAAGTGTTACACACTGATTTAACAGAAGCATCTGATTAAAATATGCTTTTAATCACATAGGGCAATATTATTATGTTTTTAATAACTTAAAATAAATGTTTTTATTTTGAAATTACATTTCTCTTTGTTAAAAATGCAATTCCAGAATACTACACCAGCTCAATTATGAGAAAAAAGTTTCCTCACAGTGTAGTTAATTTTATTTTCATTTAAGGATTAAATGTTAGGTGAGAAAAGGAAATAGACAAACCAATAAAAGAAATGAGTTGCTTTTTAATTGCAGTTACTAGGACTTACCTACCTTGAGCCAGGCTCACTCTGATGTCAAATAGGTTTGTTTTAGTTTTACCCATTTTTGATACTCTGTTCATGGATGCAGCTGGGTTCTTCTTTGTTCTTAGTACCTTCATAATTTATTGCCACACATTTGCTAGCTAGGTAAGTCCTGTATTAATGCTTCCTTTATTTATCTGCCATTTTTAGTACCCAGGTTTCTACCCTGCCCTCTTCTGCCTCAGCTCTTAGATATGTTAGAATTCTATAGCAGCAAAGTCCTCCTCCCACTGAATCCTGGGAAACAAAGTTCAGTGTTGTAGCTTCTCCTATTAACCACTCTCATCTTTTCCAAGAAAACACATTAATCAAAAAGTAAACAGTTACTCCATGGTAAGTTTGAGAAACTCACAACCAGGAATCCTGCACACTCCCCTTGCTATCAGTATTTTCAGACCCGGGATGTGTACACATGTGCTCATAAACACACCCACGTAGAGATAGAAAAGATTGTGAGAGGGTAGTACACATGGACCCTGAACTGTTTTCTTCTAACTGCAAGATATGAAGAAATCTCAGGATCTCTCTTCTTTTGAGAGTGATTTTCCCTTCCACTTGCTGGATTTAGCCTGTTTAAAGGAAGCTGACAATTTAACAAGACAGTTCCATCACCTATTACCCACAATATTTCCTGGTGAAGGCATTTTTGTTTCCCCAAAACACTGATGGTTTGCTGCAGTGGAAAGAGCAATGACCCTTTGGAGTAAAGAGTGCTTCAACTCTTTAAGTTCTAGGATCCTTTATGCTTAGCCCTACGAGACCCTGATGTGTGAATACTCCCAGGATTTCAGGCTTGAGTTTTTAATACTTGTACCTGGAATTATCTGAAGATAAGACTTTCTCCAACCATTCTTCTTTTGAATATAAACTTCTGAGAGTATTTTATCTGCACATTGCATTAGTCTTTCTACAGACTCCTCTGAACCTGGACTTAAACAACTATCATACAAATAAAGACATGCCTCCCAAATTTCTGCAATTTCCTCACTTCAGAGGACAGAAAAACACATCTGAACAAAGGAGTGGAAATTTGTATTTTATTTTCCCCAAATAAAGTCATCTCCATTCACAGAATGGCATATGTGAACAATGAAAAATCCTAAAATTAGTTTATCCCATAAAGCTCAAGAAATGGAACCACTTTATTCTCCCCTTCAGAAGACTTAAAGAAATACAACTCTTATTTAACTACCATGGACACTAACCCCTTAGTTGAAAATCAACATTTACTGAGTATGCTGCAAATGGCAGCAACCATTTTACATCTAGGAAAACAAGCATGGCAAAGTAATGATCTTTTCCCTGGTTCACAAACTGAGCTGAGAACAACAAAAGACACTATCTTAAGCCCCACTGGGATTCACCTACCTTCACAGAACCTCACTGCATCTGGCTCAATGCAAAGGAAGGCCCTGATCCAGTGCCCACTTCCCTTTGAGTGACTTAACAAAATATCATGACCTTTATTTCCCATGTACAAGATAATTAGCTGTATAAGAATTCAAACATGCTATGCTGTACTATTCTAATTCTATAAAATATAAAGTAACTCAGTATTGACTTGAGATTTCCTGTATATTTTCAATACTAAGATAGAATTTTTACTAAGCACATGTTGGCAGTTAGTGTAAACCCAGTGTTGCAAGCCTCGTGCCAGTTTCCTTCCAAGGTCTAAGGAGAAAATGGGTGAACAAAGGCCCATATACAAATTAAAGCCTCAGTCTTCCCACTGATTTTGACAGTTGACATCTAATCAGCTTTTCTTCTCACATGGACTGATGGTCCATTAGTAAGAACTTTGGTTCACACTGCTGGTAGAAATGTTTTGTAGGCTCACCTGTTCAGCTCACCTGCTCTGCATTATGAGACTGGCCTGGAAATGGCCTTTGCGACCTCCCTTTTAGCAATCAATCGCTGGTAAGTCCCTCAGGGACACTCATGAGAAATGTAGGTGGCTTGATCTGGGCTAAGCAGGCAGAGAAGAACAGCTCTGTTTTTCCAACCACTCCTTAATTAACTGGTGGGCAATGGCCAACTTGGGAGGCAACCGCAATGGGAAAGTCCCATCTTCTTGTTGGATATAGGGGCCCTTTCTCTTCAGGGCTGTAGCCACTTCATCATGGCTGAACCAGGCAGCTGCTTCCAGTTCTCTCAAGTTCACCTGGATCTGAAAGATATAAGGAGGAACAGGATGTGAGGTCAGGAGGTATAAAAGTTAGATTACTATGGCCAAAAATGAAAGAATGGTTCCAGAACCTGGGATCCCCAGGCTGGGAGAAAATCAGTTTGAGATATTGCCCAGGAGCAAAAGAGAATTAATAGATGAGAGTTAAATGCATTTTTTTTAATAGGTTTTTTTTTAAATAAAATACATTTAAGTTATTCTGGAAAACTAGTTATCATTGAGGGGTCAATTATAAATAATAATTGTTTTTCTTTGTGCTTCTACTGATTGTACAGCTCTTTTAATTAAAGAACATACAAATGTTACTCTTTTTTTAAAGTCTAAGGGTTAATGATAATCAATAGTATAATATCTTTTCTTACAAAGAAGCACAGTACTGCAAGCTACATCCACAGGAAGGTGAGACAGATGAGATAAAATTCATTCTACAGAAATTGAAGTGCACAACAGGCAGACTTTCGACATCTATCAGGGATGCTACAGAAGAGCAAGATGAAGTTCAGTAAGACAGCATCTAAGCCCTTTTCAACTAGAAGTTCCTATGATTCTACAGCATTAGTCCCCAACATCCTGACTGACTTGAGTAATAAAACCAATCTTGAAATCAATCATTAAATTTGCTTTGCAGTCATCCCTCAGTATCTGCAAGGCCATCATGGATAACAAAAATCTGTGGATGCTCAAGTCCATTATATAAAATGGTGCAGTGTTTACATATATCACATAAGCACATCCTCCCCTACACTTTAAATCATTTCTAGATTACTTATAATACTTAATACAATGTAAATGCTATGTAAATTGCATTTTACACTCCGTCTCAGTCTCTGAGAGATTTCCTTGACCGTTTAATTGCCTTTTTGTTTACCCCTCAATATTTGCAGTCCGTGGTTGGCTGCCTCCATGGATGCAGAACCTGTGGATAAGGAGAGCCAACTGTATTTATTGTATGCCTTACTATATGGAAGGCATTCTGTTAAATCCTGATAAAACCAGCAAAACCAAACTCACTGCTGTGGAGTCTGTGCTGACTCACAGCAACCCTTCCTTGGATTTCCGAGTAGTATCTCTAAGGAAGTAGACTGCCCAGTCTTACTTCCGAGGAGTGGCTGGTGCATTTGAACCACCAGCCTTCTGGTTAGCAGTTAAATTCCTTAGGCACTGTTCTGGTTACCTAGTGCTGCTCTGACAAGAAATATACCACAAATAGGATGGCCTTAACAAACAGGAGTTTATTCTTACAATTTGGAGGTTTAAGTCCGAGTTTAAAGTGCCAGGCTCTAGGGGCTGGGTGAAAGCCCCTCAACCTTGGGGTCCAGCTCTGCCTCCTGCTCCCAGCTCACTGGAGCTAGAGGCATTTCTTCACTCAAACAGCTGTTGGCTGCTGAGGTTGAGAAGCCCCAAGGTTGACAAGTAAAAAGGCACAGTTCTGATGTTACCAAACCACACGGCAGGCCAT